TGCTTAACTCTTGCATGTCTCTTTTTGGCACCTGCTATAAACATCCTTGTCTAGACAAGTCTACCCAGATGCATAGAAATTTGTGGTAATTTTCATCTGTTTTATAGCATTTTAACTTTTGTATGTTTTAAAGTATGGCTGTATTCCTCTCTCCTTGATTTTCTTGTTTTATCTTTTGTAAACAACTTTGAGTTGTTGTTGTTGTGGTTGTTCACAGTCAAGCGGCGTATGAATTTTATGAAATAAGTGAAATAAACAATATCTTCGGCTGCGTTCTCCAATTGGAGACCCTCTTACTAGTGAAAGTTAAACCTTGTTATTAGGAAAACTCTCTCATTAGTAGATCCTACTAGTAGTAAAAGTTTCTAACAGTAAAAAGTTTGTGAACCATTGGTCCAGGGCATCTATGCTTCTCATTATATAAGAACAGGTTGAGCTGATTTTAACCAGAACTGCTGCTTGTACCTCTGACTATTCTCTATTGCTGAATGCCCACTCCCAATTTCATGTGCTTTATGAAACTGAAATTGAATATATTAATTACACTTCTTGTGTACATTTCAAGAACTGAGAACATTCCATCCCATCACCATGAGGGTAGAGTTTGCATTCTTATATTAATGTTCTCCATTTTAAATCTATTTTCTGATGTCTCTGCCTCTCAGACATTTTCAATAACAGAAACTCAGAGTTATGCAGCAAATGTGAAGTGCTTCGTTCCTTTTTCCATTGGGAAAGACTGTACCATAACCTAGGCTAGGCCAGCACAATTTTGGAGTATGACCCAAGTCCTGCTTATTCTACCAGCTATGTGTTGTGTTCAGCCATACACAAACAGCCTCTGCTCCCCCCGCAGCCCCTGGCAAATAGCCAAATCAGAAAGGTTCATTAAGCATTCCATGGGTTTTATGTTCAACTTAGCAGATCACCACCTATAAAGTCTAACTATTGTATCCATTCCAGCCCAGTATCTTATTGGGAGTGGTAATTCGGGGTCTTGGTTAGTTCTGGGTCTCTTCCCCACCACCTGACAACCACTCCTGTTCACTGGAGATGCCAGAAACTGAGTCTTTGACCTTTGTATGCAAAGCATGTGCCTTACCATTGATATATGGTTCATTCCCTAACATGATAAATGTCTGCAATTACAGCTGCAGATGGTGTTATTTCCGGATATTTGAAGAAGGGCCATAGCTTGGGGCAGAGCATCTGCTAGGTATGCAGGAGGTCCCAGGTTCAGTCCCCAACATCTCCAAGTAAGTTTGGGAGAAAACCCTGTCTGAAATCCTGGAGAGAGCTGCTGCCTGTCCGTGTACCGCATACTGAGCTAGATGGACCATTGGTAGCTTTGTAGATTCCTTGACCTCCAAAAGGCAATTGCCTGTGATAGACTTCTCTATGAATTCGGACTGAACGTGCTTAGAGGCATCTCTGCAATTGGAGACTTCAAGGTTCCTGATCAGGATTCCTAAGTGCAGGAAGGATTCAACCCAATATGCTTAGAAGCTGCTTTCAGATCTTCTCACTCAAGGTTGGTGGCGGATCCAAGGGGCACAGCTATTGGGGTAATGGGTCCAGTGTGCAGTTATTGGGGTGGCAGGAGGTCAGTGCCAGTGTGGTGTAGTGGTTAAGAGGAGTAGACTCGTAATCTGGGGAATCGGGTTCGCGACTCCGCTCCTCCACATGCAGCTGCTGGGTGACCTTGGGCTAGTCACACTTCTCTGAAGTCTCTCAGCTTCACTCACCTCAAAGAGTGTTTGTTGTGGGGGAGGAAGGGAAAGGAGAATGTTAGCCACTTTGAGACTCCTGAAGGGGAGTGAAAAAGCAGGATATCAAATCCAAACTCTTCTTCTCTTCTTCAGTGTGTACATCCTTCATGTTCTACACATAACCTCTAATGTTCCTCAGATGAAAATAGGGATGTATATCAGGGTCTCATCCCCTCTGGGACGTCTCCTCCTCTGAGGCTGGGTCAGGGACACAGATGCAGCAGCCAAATGAAGTGAGAGACTGTAACAGTGCCTGCAAAAACCTCAGCAGCTCTTGCAGTGATGGCAGTAGCCTCACAGACAGGCCGTCCTTATTCACTCCCCCACTCACCACATTCTTCATTGTAGACCAACAAACTGAGGAGAAGGGAAATGGTGAAAACTTTCTTAGGGCATTCAAGTGACCCGGATCTTGTTTTCATAAGAACAGGAAGTGACGCCATATTGAGTGGGTGGGTGGGAGGGAAGGGAGAGGAGGCATATTTGTAAGAAATGTGTTAGACACACAGATCTGAACTTCCAGTAACATGTTGAAATGCTGTACTGAAGGGAAGGCCCCTTGGAAATTCAGCATTCTGCATGAAGAAGGGAGAAACTGTGGTGGCTTAAGGGTTTTCATGTTGATCCTGGTGTTTTCTGGGCAGTTGGAGGGTATGCCTACATAGATTATGCCTTAATATATTCAGCTGAATGCTTGAGCAGGGCTACCAGAGAGAGAGAGAAAATAGTTCTCTATCAACTGTCTCCACATCATGCAAATTTCATAAACCTCCACTGTGTTTTCGCTTGCTTCCCTTTTCTCTGTGCAGCCTCTCTTATGGAAAAGGAGAGATAAGCCCTCAATCATCAAACTGCGAAGGCAGGCAAATCATATATTCTAAAGTTCAGTAGAAGCCTCATGAAAAGGGGATGGATTGGAAATCCCCACCCAAGTTCTGCTTTAGAAAAGTCTTGGGTAATACAGTGGAACCTCGGTTTTCGAACATCTCCATTGACGAACGTTTTGGAACTCGAACACCGTAAACCTGGAAATAAATGCTTCCATTTCCAAATGTGCCTCAGAAGTTGAACTTCCAATGCGGCTTCTGTATTGAGTTTTCTATATTAATTTTTCCATTTTGAGCCTTCTGTATTGAGTTTTCATTTTTCGAACGTTTTGGAAGTTGAACGGTCTTCCAGAATGGATTATGTTTGAAAACCGAGGTTCCATTGTATAAGTTACTTCCACACCCCAGTTTTGGAAATAACTCTTATTGTTTCTGAAACTCTTCCACAGTTCAGACCCCATCCTGATCATGATGACATCATCTTGGGTGTGAAGGGATTCTGACACAGGTTGGGACTCCTTGCTTGACTTGGCAGCCAAGCTGACACACAGCTGAGGAGTGGGAGCCAGAAGTGGAGGCAGATAAGAACAGTGGGAGTGTCTGAGAGCATCCTCTTTAGTCCCAGCAGGGAAGAGAAGGAGGTGGGAGACTTGGGGTGACAGTGGAGAAGAGATTTAAGAAGGAAGCAGGAGGTGGAGGGAACCAAGCCGAGCTACGAAAGGAATGAGGGTGGCCACAGCCAGGACAACAAGGAAGGGGGAAGAGGAAGAGGACAGAAGGATCTAAGGTTGCCACCCCTAGTGGTGAGGCAAAAACAAGGAAAGGAGTGAAAGGCAGGCAGGAGATGACACTGTACATGGGGAGCCAGGAGACGATATGAATAAGGGAAGGGACAAGAGAAAATATTTTATATTAAACAGAGTGGAGTCCTTTGATGAAAGGAGCAAATGGGACTCATACCCATAGCTGTCAACTTTTCCCTTTTCTTGAGAGGAATCCTATTTGGAATAAGGGAATTTCCCTTAAAAAAAGGAAACGTTGACAGCTATGCTCACACCAGGGGGAGCTCTGAAAACAAGAGGCCATCTGGAGGTCTGAGGACTTCTGGCGCCATAGACAGGGATCAAGTTGAAAACAGGGGTCATAAGTCAGTCTGAGCTTCTTCCCTGTGCCTTGTCATCGATTCCCCACAATGTTTATCAGGCGATGGTTGTGGTGATGAGAAGGGCTTGGGTTAGGCATCTCTGGAGTTTGGAATGTTACAATGGCAGCGTCCCAGCTGCCAGGGACTCTGGGTACCTGAGAAACCTAGAAACTACATCTCCCAAGAGTCCTTGCACCTAGGTTCCTGCCATGTGCAACAGAGTCCTAGGTGAAAGGAAGCCTGGAAGGTGTAGCTTCCTGGTGTCTCTTCTCAGTTCACGAGCTCTGCACTTTAATAAACCCTTCCCTTTTTATCCTCCAAGCCATTACATGAATCTTAAGATTAAACAGAGCATTTCTTCCTGCTTGAAGTTCGTCTGTATTATTCTGTTGCAAGCCCAGGAGTTCTCAACTAAATGATTCGTTAGTAAGCCTATTTAAAGCCAAGTACTCTTGAGTTAACGTAACTGTAAATCAAGATGCAGGTGAGGAGAAATCACAGACCTAATCCCTAAAGATTGTTATAATGTGGTCTATCCTTCAGTTTTCATTAACTATTTCTGACAGCATTTTCACACTAATGAGCAATCTTTTGGTGTTATAAGAGATTAATATGGAAATATACTAACATCAGTTAATTTAGTTATTGGGGCAATATGTAATTATTCGAGTTAATCCTATTAATCAAATTATTAATGCCAATTCTTCATTCAGTTACCTGAAATATGCAACCTCATAATTCCAATTTGAATAAAATACGGCGAAACAAGGTTATGAAAATGCAGGTTCTTTGAGACAGTGCTTGATCGTCTTGACATACAGTAATACAACTTGTGGGCAGGGTTGCCAACTTATTCACAGGCCCCGGCTTCTGCAGTAGTAATATCTGCATGATGTGGAGATATTGCTTGCCTTCATGCTGTGAAAAGGTACAATGCTTACTTCCATTCTGTGAAAAGTTTCCCCTCACAGATTTCTTGAGATTAGGCTACTGTCAAAGGTACAAGAATGGGCCGTGTCTTTTCTTCCTGTCCTGGTCAGTTGGCAACCCTAGCAGACTCACCTCTTCCATGGCAGCTGCAATCTGGAGATGATGAATCTCTTATTAAAGCGACTTTCACCCTAGTTCATCTAGCCCAGGATGCATACCTCCCAACATTTCTCAGATGAAAATAGGGACATCCTAAGGAAAAGCGGGACATTCTGGCTTCTGTAAATCCAGGAATGTCCCTGGAAAATAGGGATACCTCTAGGGTCTGCATGTTGGGATACTGCCAGGGAGATAAAGTCCATCAAGGCCCCCAAGCCGTCTGCCGGACGATCCATCGACCTCCCGTAGGCACGCAGCGACATGAGTTTCTAGAAAATATCTTGCCACATTCCAGAGCTCATGCACGCTCTATCAGCAGATAATGCACAGCCAAAAGTTGCACTCAGGAGAGCATTATTTACAAGTTTATTCAGCGTTGATCAGAACACAGAAAAACATGACTGCCTGCTTTAGTGTCTGCGACACAGAGAGAGAGAACGAAAGCAACAGAAAACATAAACATCCTGTGAACAGGAAATACGCAGACTCTGACTCACAAAGCCTGCTCCCTTTTAAGGTGGAACGGAAATATCCTAACATCCTCCCCCTTTCCGTGTAACCTGTAGTACCTGTGGTTCAACCCAATTGCAACCTTTGTACGTAAACCTTAAGTTGTTCTCTGTTAACAACCTTAGACAACAGATCAGCAGGAATTTCATTTCCTGGCATGTAGGACACCTGAATGAGTCGTTTCTCAATACACTCTCTTGCACGATGTAGCTTAATCTGCAAGTACTTGGTCCTTTGCTTGCAACTCTCCGAGTTCAGCAAAGCCAAACACGATCTATTGTCTTGATACACTTGTACAGGACATTTCACAGAAACTCTGATGTCCTTAAACAGTTGCATCAACCATTCACAATCCATGAGTGAAAATGACAGAGCATTGAGTTCTGCTTCACAGGAACTTAGGCTCACTGTCATCTGCTTTTTGCACAACCAGTCAAACAGGCAGTGGTTGTACATGTAGCATACTCCAGAAGTGCTTGTACCATCCGTGGTATCACTTCCAAAACTTGCATCTGCAAAGATTTCAAGACCTCCAGTCTTCTGACTGGTGAACCTCAGCCTGTAGTGCAAAGTCCCTTTCAAATAGCGGGCTATGCGCTTCAGAGCTTTCCAATCCTGAACAGTAGGATTGTTAGCATGTCTGCTAAGCAGGTTACAGCTTACAGCTATGTCAGGTCTTGAACATCTAGCAATGAAATTCAACTTGCCTAGAATGCATCTGTACAGCGTAATGTCAGAAAACGCTTCAGCAGTACTGTCTACCTGGTAACCTGTCACCATCGGTGTGTCTGCTGGGTTTGCATCAACCAAATTCAACCTGGTTAATACATTAGCAATTTTCTGTGTTTGGTGTACCAGAAAACTACCTGCTTGGTCCCTCTCCACCTGCAGAGAAAGATAGTTGGATACCTCACCAAGATCCTTCATGTCAAAGTGCTCCTTCAGCTGAGCTAGGGTGCTTTGGTAGAAAGCCTGATTCTTCCAAAACATCAGAAGATCATCAACAAAACATAAACAATACAGTTTGTTTTGCCCCTCCTCCTTGACAAACACACACGGATCAGCTTTGCCCTGGTGAAAACCTAGAGAAAGCAACGTCTCAGTGAGTTTCGTGTTCCAACACCTAGCACTCTGCTTGAGACCATATAAGGATTTCCGCAGTTTACAGACCATTCCCTTCTGTATCTGCATCCCGTCAGGTGGAAGCATAAACAGCTCCTCCCCCAGAATCCCGTACAAAAAAGCTGTATTAATGTCATGATGGAAAACATGCAGTTTCTCCTCCGCAGCGATCTTGAGCATCAGCCGAATGCTCTCATATTTGACGGTGGGTGAGTAGGTCTCGTGGTAATCCTGTCCTGATACCTGTGAAAAACCTCTGGCAACCAATCTGGCTTTGTGTCTGACAACCTTGCCATTCTGGTCTGTCTTGGCCTTGAAGACCCATTTGCTGCCAACCAGTCTCATTCCTGGGACAACCGGTACCAGTTCCCAAGTTTGGTTCCTATTCAAGGAATCAACTTCAGCCTTCATGGCATTAAGCCAAGGCTCAGCATCTTTAGAGGTTAACTCCTGAACCTCTTTGAAGCTTGAAGGTTCCCACACCTTCTCTGAGCTACTAAGAACAGCAGTTGCTGTCTTAGCAAACTCATCAGCAAATCTCTTTGGAGGTCTGCCCTTTGTGGCTCTTTCAGATCTGCGTACTAGACGCAAGTCTTCTGGACTCATCTCCTCCTTCTTAGGAGAAAAGTGACCAATGGTGAACAGTGGTTGTTCCAGTTCATTGTCAGACGCATCAGATGGTCTGACTGAGGCCTTTGCGCTCTTGTAGTCTGCTGTGTCATCACTGTCACTGACATCAGCAGCAGCGCCCACTGAGCTGGAATCCGAACTCTGATCATCATCGTCATCATCATCCTCAGCAGCTTCCTCAGCTTTAGCTGCTTCTTTGACATCACCTTCATCCTCCTCTGGGTAACTCTGGAAAATTCCCACATTTTCCCCCCACTTTGGATTGTACTCAACACTCTTTGTGAACTTAATGGACTTAGAGTCAGTCATCCATACCCTGTATGCACCTTTTTCGTACCCCATGAACAAACCATGTGCCCCACGCTTCCCAAGCTTGTTGCTCTGTGGGGTGTGTACCCACATGTCAGAACCAAAGATTCTCATGTGCTTGATGTTGGGTTTCTTACCAAACATCTTCTCATAGGGGGTACAACCAATAGGTGATGACAACCTGCGAGATGACAAACAAACGAGTTCAAAGACTCCCCCCAAAACTTCTCAGGGAGATTGGCATCATGCAACAATGTTTTCAGTCCTTGCAGCAACGTTTGATTTGCTCACTCACAAATCTCCCATGGAGATCCAGGACTTGAGAGGCTATGCTGGATTCCCTTCTCAGTCAGGAAAGCTTTAAACTGCCGAGAAGTGAATTCAGCCTCTCGATTAGTAAACAAACAGCCAATGCGTTTACCATGAACATTCTCCAACCAAGCACAGAATGCCTTGAACTTAGGAAACGCTTGCAATTTCTGCTCGAGCATAAACACATGAATGTACCTGGAAAAAGAATCAATTAGAACCATGAAGTACCTTGCTCCACCCAAAGAGGGCACAAGTGGACCAACCAGGTCTGCGTGCACTAGCTGGTAGGGTTTGGAAGCCTGCCTGCTAGACTCCTTGCCTTTTGGAGCAACCTTCACCTTGTTCTCTGCACAAGATACACATTTCATGTGAAACTTACAGGGTTTGATGTTCAAACCTTCAACCATCTCTGGCATCTTGGCCAGTGCCTTCCAAGAGAGGTGACAAAACCTTCTGTGTGCATCGTGAATGCATCCTGCATGAAGAACTTTGTTAGTTTGTGCAACACAACAAGAATCAGCATTAGACACAACAGCACCATTGTCATCATAAGTTATACAGAACAATCCATCCATAAACTTTGCATGCAAAATGTCCTCTTTGCCTTTTCTGATGACACAGACGCTCCTCTTGAAGGAAATCTCAAAACCACGCCCAGTCAGCTGTGGGACACTGAGCAAATTGTCTGCAGCACCTGGAACATACAGTACATCTTTGATGGAAGTGTGCAGACTTGCCAGTCTCACAGTCCCTTCTCCTGCGATTCGCAACGTCTTTCCGTCAGCCAGGTGGATCTCACCTTCTTGAGGTTTGAAGGAGATAAATAGGTGGCGGTCCTTTGAGACATGGCGGGTACAGCCTGAATCAACAACAAACCTGGCTTTGGCCTTTGGAGCAGCCTTTCTGGCAAGCAAAACCTTGTTTTCCGACGGCGTGGGCTTTTGCAGCTTGCCCCCCTGCTCCTGGCCATCAGACTTGCCTTTAGCCTTTGGTGAGGCTGTGCCAGCAAACACAGCCTTGTTTTCCACTGGCGTGGGCTTTTGCAGCTTGCCCCCCTGCTCCTGGCCATCAGACTTGCCTTTAGCCTTTGGTGAAGCTGTGCCAGCAAACAAAACCTTGTTTTCCACTGGCGTGGGCTTTTGCAGCTTGCCCCCCTGCTCCTGGCCATCAGACATGCCTTTAGCCTTCGGTGAAGCTGTGCCAGCAAACAAAACCTTGTTTTCCTCTGGCGTGGGCTCTTCACCCTCCCTCTGCTTCTGGCCATCTGCAGGCGTCTGCCTCTGTTTACCTTTGCCCTTCCGGCCTCTGCAAAGGCAATGACCTTGGTTCTCACGAGAAACAGAGTTTTCAGCTGCCGACTCCTTGGCTCCCCCTGGAGGCTGGAATGCTGCCTGGGATGACGTGACAGTCAGCTCCCCCTGCAGCTTGCAACCGGTGCCCTCAGCATCCCTGCATTCACTCGCATTCTGGGAAACAGCCAGGACCTCCGATGCAGTCAAACTCTGGGCTGGGATGACTGGCAAATGGGCTATCTTCAAAGCATGCCACATCTTACATGCAGTCACATTGCCAGCTAACGTTTTAATTTCCTCCAGAGAGACGGACAAGACTATTATGTCTATCGCCTTCGAATTTTCGGCCTTCCATCTATCTGTCAGAGGAACTGGAGGGGCCTCACACACAGTATGCCACACTCCAAACTGACGCAGCAAACTCTCACACCATTTTGCCCAGGTCTGATAGTTGTGCCGATTTAACTTTGGGCACTCAGCAGCCTCAGAAGCTTGGAAAAACTCCATTCCAGCTTTTTATTTGAGCCGTGAGTCTTATTCACTTCAAAGATCCCTTATCTTGGCAGCCCATTACTCACGAATGCTCTGGTGCGGCTCCCAGATCCATTAGTCCTGCCAGACATCAAAGGCTCTCGCCACGGCAAACAGAAAAGCCTTACTTTCGCTTTTCCTCCACATACCTTTCAGCAGTCCGTCGCAGTCTTACTCTCCTGTAAGTGCCGTGAATCTGGGCCCGAAACCTGTTGTTGGGATACTGCCAGGGAGATAAAGTCCATCAAGGCCCCCAAGCCGTCTGCCGGACGATCCATCGACCTCCCGTAGGCACGCAGCGACATGAGTTTCTAGAAAATATCTTGCCACATTCCAGAGCTCATGCACGCTCTATCAGCAGATAATGCACAGCCAAAAGTTGCACTCAGGAGAGCATTATTTACAAGTTTATTCAGCGTTGATCAGAACACAGAAAAACATGACTGCCTGCTTTAGTGTCTGCGACACAGAGAGAGAGAACGAAAGCAACAGAAAATATAAACATCCTGTGAACAGGAAATACGCAGACTCTGACTCACAAAGCCTGCTCCCTTTTAAGGTGGAACGGAAATATCCTAACATCCATTTTGCCCAGTGTGAAAGCTATGGAATTGAACAACCACAAGATATAGTGATGGCTGCCAGCTCAGATGCCTTTAAATGAGGATTGGGAGGATTCATGGAGGATAAGGCTGTCAGTAGCTACAAGTCATGGTGGCTATATGCCACAGGCCTCAGAATACCAGTTGCTGGGGTACGATAGAAGGGAGAGGGCTACTGTGCTCATTCCCTGTTGGGGTTTCCCATAGGCTACTAGTTGCTCGCTGTGAGAACCATGACTTTGGTCTGATCCAGCAGCACTCTTCTCATGTTCTTGAAAAGGTAAAGGTAAAGGACCCCTGACAGTTAAGTCCAGTCGCAGACGACCCTGGGGTTGCGGTGCTCATCTCACTTTACAGGCCGAGGGAGCCAGCGTTTGTCCACAGACAGTTTTTCCGGGTCATGTGGCCAGCGTGACTAAGCCGCTTCTGGCGCAATGGAACACCGAAACCAGAGCAGCGCACGGAAACGCCGTTTACCTTCCCACCAGAGCGGTGCCTATTTATCTACTTGCACTGGCATGCTTTCGAACTGCTAGGTTGGCAGGAGCTGGGACAGAGCAACGGGAGCTCCCCCCATTGCGGGGATTTGAACCACCGACCTTCCGATCGGCAAGCCCAAGAGACTCAGTGGTTTAGACCACAGCGCCACCTGTGTCCCATGTTCTTATCTACACTTAAACAAAGGAGGGGGAGGCTGCTTCAAACGCCACTTTGGCAAAGTGCAGGGACCCCCAACTCCTTCAGAATAATGGAACAAGCAGGTGCGCAGTGGCAGGGGGAGACTACCACCATGCATGTCGCCACCTGCCCACTTGCATAAGGGACAGGATAGGCTTCTTTAAGGGCTGCTTTTGTGAAAGGAAGAGACAAAGGTCCTGTTGGAAACAGGGCGCTGCAGCCGATGCATGATAAATGCAGGGTTTTTATCCTGCAATCAATGCAGGATGAAATCTTGTCCTCTTTCCCATAAGCTGTTGCCACTGGGCAAGTGGTCATGGCTCAGGGAAAATGTCCTCATGGGCCAAATTTACCCTCTGGCAGGCCTGTGGGCTGGAGGGTCCCCACCCTGTTCCTGAAGGATGCAGACCCTCCAAGTGTCCCTATTTTCCAGGGACGGCCCTGATTTAGAGAAGCCACCCTGATCTCTGATTTGATCCCTGAATGTCCCTCTTTTCCTTAAAGTAAAGGTAAAGGGACCCCTGACCATTAGGTCCAGTCGTGACCGACTCTGGGGTTGCGGCGCTCATCTCGCTTTATTGGCTGAGGAAGCCGGTGTACAGCTTCCGGGTCATGTGGCCAGCCTATTTTCATTGGAGAAATGTTGGAGGGTAGGGAATTATGTAACCCCCAAGCTGTCTGAAGGCAATCCTGTATAGTGAAGTTTTTTTAAAAAATGTTTATTTTTTTATTATGTTGGAAGCTGCCCAGAGTGCTGGGGCAACCCAATAAGGTGTGTGGTGTATAAGTAGTAAAATTATCATTATGGAATAAAGTTAAAGATACCCCTGATGGTTAGGTCCACTTGCGGACAACTCTGGGATAGTAGCGCTCATCTCGCTTTACTGGCCAAGAGAGCCGACGTTTGTCCACAGACAGCTTCCGGGTCATGTGGCCAGCAAGACTAAGCCGCTTCTGGCGAACCAGAGCAGCGCACGGAAATGCCGTTTACCTTCCTGCCGGAGCAGTACCTATTTATCTACTTGCACTTTGATGTGCTTTTGAACTGTAGGTGGGCAGGAGCAGGGACTGAACAATGGGAGCTCACCCCATCGCGGGGATTCGAACTGCTGACCTTCTGATCGGCAAGCCCTAGGCTCAGTGGTTTATACCCTCATCATTATGGAATCCCTCATCATTATGGAATGGGGATTCCATCGGAGAAATGTTGGAGGGTATGAAGGATGCTAAACACACAACAACAACCTGCAGCTTGGAATGTGGCCAGACATGAGCTTTGTGTGCGAGCCGGCATTTGAATCCAGGGCTGGGCGATGGGCAACCAGCAAGCAGGAATCACGGAACAACACTGGCATTGCTTAAAGTCCTTCCAGGTCAGAAAGACCCAGTGGTGTAACAGAGTTCCTTAGAGAAATTTGGTCAAACTTGAAGCTTTCACTGCTAGGCCGTATTGCTGCGATAAAAATGAATGTATTGCCTAGAATGTTGTTTTTGTTTCAAACTTTGCAGATTGTGGACAAAATGGACTGTTTCAAGAGGTGGCAGAAAGATATTTCTAAATTTGTCTGGCAGGGCAAGAAACCTAGAATAAAATTTAAAATACTAACAGATGCAAAGGAAAGAGGTGGATTTGCCCTGCCAGACCTCAAACTTTATTATGAATCAGCAGCTTTTTGCTGGTTGAAAGAATGGCTACTTCTTGAAAACACTGACATTTTGGATTTGGAAGGTTTTAATAATGTATTTGGATGGCATGCATATTTATGGTATGATAAGGTCAAAGCACATAAAGCATTTAAAAACCACATTGTCAGGAAAGCGCTATTTAATGTTTGGATAAGATATAAGGATTTGCTAGAAAATAAAACCCCAAGGTGGCTGTCACCAATGGAAGCGAAAGCCTTGAAAAGGGTCAATATGGAGGTCAAATGGCCGAAATATTGGGAAATTTTGGAACAAGACGGAGATAGACTGAAATTGCAGAGTTTTGAAAAACTAAAAACAACGTGCGAGACTGGCTTCATTATTATCAAATAATGGAGGCATTTAAATTAGACAGGAAAATTGGCTTCCAGGTGGAAAAATCAAAATTAGAAACAGAATTGTTAGAACCCAATACTAAGAATCTGTCAAGAATGTATAACTTGCTGCTGAAATGGAATACTCAAGATGAAACGGTAAAATCGGCTATGATTAAATGGGCACAGGACGTAGGACATAACATCATGTTTGCTGACTGGGAACAGTTGTGGACCACTGGTATGAAATTTACGGCATGTAATGCCTTAAGAGAGAATATTATGAAAATGATATACAGGTGGTACATAACCCCAGTCAAGCTTGCGAAAATTTATCACTTGCCCGATAACAAATGTTGGAAATGTAAAGAAACTGAAGGTACATTTTTCACCTTTGGTGGACGTGCCTAAAGATTAAGGCTTTCTGGGAAATGATATATAATGAATTAAAAAGGTATTTAAGTATACCTTTCCCAAGAAACCAGAGGCCTTTCTCCTGGGCATAGTGGGCCAAATGGTGTTAAAAAGGATAGAACTTTCTTTATGTATGCAACAACAGCAGCAAGAATACTCATCGCAAAGTATTGGAAGACACAAGAACTTCCCACGCTGGAGGAATGGCAGATGAAACTTATGGACTATATGGAATTGGCGGAAATGACTGGCAGAATCCGTGACCAGGGAGAAGAGTCGATGGAGGAAGACTGGAAGAAATTCAAAGACTATCTTCAGAAACACTGCAAAATTAAGGAATGTTAGAGTGATGTTGGACTGAAAACAAGTGGTTTCCAGCTGTACAGGTTAAAGTTAAGGATAGATTAAGATTAAAGATCAAGATTAAAGATGTTTAAAGAAATGGAAATTTGATAGTAAAAGGGAAAAATTTAAAGTTATATGACATTAAGATCAAGGATTAGGTTTAAAAAAGTTGAAGTTATATATCTTAACGTTTTATTAAATTAAAGATTGGGATTAAAAAAGTGGAAAAGAAACTGCTGGACAAACAAATGTAGATTGGAATACAAAAGAGGGAGGTATGAGGAAGTCCAGAAAATAAGTATTTAAAATTGGAAATGGAAAAGAGAGTTTGTTTTTAATTGCTATGTTTTGTGTTTTTATTGTTAAGTTTTGTATTGTTTTTTGTGTGTGTTGTTTTTCTTTTTTTTGTTTGTTCAAAACTTTAATAAAAAATTATTAAAAAAAAAAAAAACAGAGTTCCTTAGATATCAGAAACTCTTTACTGTCCAAGAAGACTTCAACCGTGGCAGCCCACAGACCTAGCAGTTTGCCCCAAGCATTGTGCAAACTTTTGCTAAACCTGCACATGAAGTTACTCTAATATGAGACTATTTCTAAGTAAACAAACTTTCCATTTTTTTTTTAAAAAGGAGAACATGTACATTATTTCTTAACACCCAAGAGGTTCCTGCAGAAGAAATACGCTGTGCATTTGCATCTTTTATATATATCTATGCTCTTTCAGATGGTGGCTTCCTTTGATGAAGAGCTGTCACCTCTTCAGTAGAATTTGTGGTGCAGAATATTACTAGGCACCAGGCACCAGCATTTCATGCCTGCAAGGCAGGATCAATGAATTCTTCAGCCTCGTTTCCTAGTCAGACGAAGCTTTGGGTCGTCCACGTAACTATCCGTGGTTGGGGTGCATCATAAAATTGTATTTATTTGCCCAGTCTTTGGCAACTAATTGCTGCCATTAATTTCTCACTGCTTTCCAGAAGATGGCACTACAGATAAAACCATGGCAGCTGTGCCATAATTACATGGCGTGATGTGTTTAAGATCTAGAGCCTTGGGTATGGAAGAATAGCTTGAAGAAGAAGAGGAGGAACACAAATTGCCCGGGGTGAATATTACATTGAACCAATTTTTGCTGGTGAAAGAAGCAAAGCTTTTGAGGTATGCAACACAATTTCTCCAGTACAGAGAAAGATCCGGCCTCTGCTTCAGAATCTCAGACAGGCTTTCCTGAACCATAACTAACTATAATGTGGGTGGGGAGGGCTAAGGCTGTCTGTAGAAACTTGCCTACCATACAGAGGTAAAATTCACATTAGGTGGGGTTCCCTTAATGAGCCCCAGATGACTACAACTTCCATCATTCCCTGGGATGGCTAGGGATGATGGGAGTTGTAGTCCAAATATATATATATATATAAATCTGGAAGGCACCAGGCTGGCCAAGGCTGCTTTAACTATGTCCATAGTATTTTTTTCAGGAGCCCGTGCCAAGTGAAAATCTGGTGACCACATTTTGGACCACTGGC